AGGTGCATCTCAATATTCTACCTAGGAACATAATGAATATGACATTAGAAAAGGAGTAACGAAAACTGACTCTTTGTTCAAAAATTTTAGTAAGTGCATAGTTTTAAAATGGAAAATTGGAAATGTGGGTACTTATAACATCCCTTTAACAAGTAAGCAATAAAAAGTGTAGAATAATAATATTTTTATATTCGAAATGTGTATAAAACAGAAATTTTCATGGCTTGTAAAAGTCTGGGGAACACGAACGGTTTGAATGTAGAAATGATGAAAAGTGGCTACGATCTACGTCTGAAATGGAGTCAAAGTGAGGGTGACGTGCGTGTATCAATACATTATTACGTCATTATGCGGCGCGTGGCGTCCGACAAGCATATGCTTTACGCACGATTTCGCTTCAACACGAAAACATGTTCCGGATCTTAATATATACGAACTCGTAGGGAATTTTTGAATGCACTGCGAAAAAGTTTTATCGTGCTGTGCAATAAATTAACCTATTGTCGTACGGCAAATGAACTTTCGGATTAGCTCATCGCATTTTATTTAATTTGGCAACAACAAATTTCCTTAATGTCATGCCGTTATGATTGAGTCATTACGAAATGAAACAACTTTGAGGTTGGTAATTTTATTTTGTAAATTCGTGACATCGTCAGCAGAAATGCACGAATGTCGTCAGACGCTTATTCGTTAGGGTTACATCCCCAGTTGCAAAATCAAAAGGTCTAGTTAGTAATAGTTAATGCTTTGTACGAAGTGCAGGATGAACTTAGTTGTTTACGATGATTGGGGTGGCGGTTCTAAATCTAAATCTATACCTACAGAGATAACAAAACAGATAGGCTCTACTCGGTTTCCGGCCATGTGTGCAGAAAGTTGGATGCCGAAATTTACTCGTACCTACATTTTTTGTTTAGGTCCGTGGGTCGACTTCTTCAGGAATTTTAAATTGACTTTGAGCATAAATTGTCATCCAAAATCCCCAAAACGATCGACTACTGTTTTTATACACTGTAGCAGTTCGGAAAATTGGATGGTGGAACGGCTTGTGAAATACAATTGAACCTGTGGTATCGTCTGGTTTCGAAAGATGATTGATGATTTGAATCAGAAACAAACTGGGGTTTCAGTTTGTCAAAATTTAATGGTTGAAATTTTGTTTACTCACTGGAATAATTTACCAATGCTTCGCAATATGGAAATGCCAATTTTACCCCTATACACGCATGGCTTTAACAGCTAGCAAAAGCACTAATTAATTGTCTTTGAACTTTTTACCGGTTGCCGTTTAATCCAGAATCTTATTATTGCTCCTTATAAACAATAGAAGCGCACAAACTTGTTTTTTTATCATACTAACCACTCCAAGTATCAACGCAATAGAAAGTTCTGTACTTTTTTTCTTTAAGCGCAATTAAATAATGCAACGAAACGAAAAATGTTCGGTGACGTATTAAGAATGTAACATATTCGCACTATATTCACGGTTGAAAATAAATCAGTCAGCCGGTCGATTCAGCTACAAAACGAAGTTCCCTTTTTGCATAATTTATATTACTTTATTTGTACGGAAACTAAAAATTTAAACTTACATTTCACATTACGCGCTTGTGAAATCTTCTGTATAGCTCGATTATACGAATTCGTCCTGAAACTTTCAGTTAAAAATAAACTTTACGCGATCTAAAACTGCCGCGCACAAGACAAATAGATTAGTCTTGAAGGTTCAGTTGAGAATCCTTCTCTCCCACCCAATTTTTCCTAATATAGTCCCCGAATCCAAAAACCGAAACGGACCCAATGAAAAGCAAGCTTCGGCTATGGTTTTTTATACATGTAAAGATATAGTAGAAAATTCGTTCTTAATGCTCCATAAGAACGGTCTGGAACCGACCACACTGTGGCGTTTTGAGTCTTATTTGCTTGAACACTGGTTGTTATCTGAAAGCGCTTTACTCTATTGCATTTTAGTTCTGTTCTTTTTCGTTATGAAACGGTATACCTATAATTATAATTTTCTATACTGGTAAATTCAAAACCTAATCTTTCTAAGCCTAAAGCGACCACCTGTTGTGCATTCTCCATACGTCTCTAGCGTCACACTTGGAGCATTCCTACCTACATTTTTCTTCCTTCAATAAACCTGATTGAGGTGTTGTATTACGTTTCAATGGCAGTCGACAGTGAATCGTTTGTAGAGCCGAATCAGAAATTTCGTGCAAACGGGCGATTCACAATACGCAAGCATTGTCACAAGTTTTTACAAATTTGCGGTTAAATTTTCTCAAATTATGTTCGCTTAAGGTTCCAACAGTGCTTACAGGTGTTGACAAAACAAAGCGGCTTGGAGTGCGGATTTAATAATATTCCTCACTGTAAGATAAAGTGCTGATTGGGTCACATTTTACAATCGTGATACCTCGAAATATGAGTGAACCAGTGAGCATTGATTAAACGGTGCCAAATGTGCACAAGTTATGTTCGTAGAGCGAATCCGTCCATTGGGCGGATCCCGAAGAATAAAATTAAGCCCAAAGAAGACGAAGATTTTCGCAGCATTTCCAAGGAAGAAAGCAAGAAAGTTCCACGGCGGAACATCAGCGAGGATTCTATAATCGGTCCGTGCAGAAAGCAGATGGGGGAGATAATTTCAATTGCACATCAAAGAATCGCGCACATTATATTATACTTACATAACATGAACCACTACCCAAGTTATTTAGGATATATGCAGAATAACGAGAGCTAGAACAGAGTAAAAGAATCATTTGTAATATCCATTACAACGTTATTTCCTAATAGAAACTGTCGATGCAATTATTCAACATCCCCTCGCCCGTAAAATTTTTTAGAACGGGTTGTTCTGATTACAACTTATACTTTTCAAGATGCGAGGTTGCAAGAAATAAGAAAGAAATAAACAGCCAGCAAAAGCACGAATTAATGGTCTTAAACTTTTTTACCAGTTACCGTTTTATTTGGCGTCCACCTGTTACACTCTGGTTTGGAATAACTCGGAAACAGAAATAATGAAATCTGGTCGGGAATAAGTTTCTGGCCTGGAATAATCTCGTTCCTGGTGGGTGAGTGATTTCAGTGTGGAATACACAGGATTATGCTCGGGCCTGAAACGCACATACAGGGATAAATTCTCCTCTGGTGTACACTCGAGATATTCTATGGTCTAGACTACCTATAGGAATATGTTTCGAGTCTGGAACACACAGGAGGAAGTTTCTGGTTGAGAGTAATATCAGGTTATGAGTTCTGGTGAAATACAAATGCATGCTTTTATAGGAGACAAGGGGGAGCACAAACAAGAGGGGATCAAAGAAGCGGTTTCACTTTCAAAGGGGTCGGACGGCTGCAGGCAACATCTGATAAGCTGACATAGGAAATGTACAACCCCTTTACAAGGGTTTACAAATAAAATGACTTCGTTATAAATTTTGATAATTTCTTCCACAACCAAGCGAGAGGAAGGTCATAAAATCCCATGCTATTTAGTCGGTAGTTATATCGTTTTACAGCCTGTACATAAAAGGCTTCCTTTTTTGTGTCCGTGGAGTTATTCTTGGCATAAAGGTTCAGTTCAGGTTAAAATGCTGTAGTTGGTGGCGTATTAACAAACGCTCCACTATTTTCTAGTTTTCCTATTCTAAACATGATAAAGCTGATATAATGTTTCATATTATTCGCCATTAGTGGCGGTGGTCAACAATCTCAATAGAAGTTGACTAGATTGAGAATTACCCTACGTCAAGGCTGGTATGCGTGGTATATGGCGCTTACAGGAAATGACAGTGGTCCGAAATATTGACGGAGTTCTAAAAACAATATATGTAATGAAGTTCTCCATTTTTGGGTTCGTTTAGATTCTTTAAAATATTAAAAGGAACCACAAATTTTTATTCTACAATAAAGATACAATAAAAATTTGTGGTTCCTTTTAATATTTTAAAGAATTCTAACAACAAATTTTAATGCAATTACCTTGCGCAAATTTGACACTTTCATGTAATGTTTAAAATAAAAAATTTTACACTCTTTGTTGAGCTGGCATTTAAGAATTTTTCTGATTACTCTCAATAAATTTAACGCATTTTTTTAGACAGCCGATAGTTATCTTGAATCTAAATAAAAAAAATTTCGTTACCTTAATTATAGCGTTTTCTGGAATTGATGATTTATTTTTATTGAATTTCCACGATAATTCTTTCACGAAACGTCCGGTTCATTTATTTTCCAATGAAATCGCGATATAACTAACTGCGTTAAATCTTCGTTTGGTAATGTTTTTTTTTACATACCAAATATAAACTTACGTACATATTATCACTAAAACGGTTTTTTCATAGATTTATTTTAAAATTAGCCACGTATTTGTATTTGTACAGGGTTTTTCGCATCGTTTGTTTATAGCCCGCCGATTTTGAACTGACGGGCGGCTTTTGCACTAACTTTCTTGTTTTTCTAATTTGAGATCCACCGAGGCTCAAACGCGAATTGAATGAACTTGGTTTTCCCGCTGACGGTTGCCCGCTTAGTGCTCGAAGGTTATTATTTTCGACCACGTACTTGACGCTCTGGTCCAAAACTGAATGCCCTATTAATATCTCTCCTGGACGCGTCCCTACCCTTTTTAATTTTTTAACACGCCTGAAAAATGGGGCTGATGGGTTTAAAGCAGGCATTTTTTATGCGCCTACATGACCGAATCAAGCCATCTATCACAACCCACAAGATTTCAAGATCGCTTAGTTCACGCTTCTCATTATCATCACTATGAGTAACTCTGGTTCAATTGTTTTGGTAACGTAAACGACCTTAAGATTGTGTTATCGCCCGTCAGACTGGCGCTGACTTTTTTCGGATAATTAACAGGTCATTCGCAAAATATAGATGGCCAAATTAAAAATCCATTGACTTAAACAATTTGAAAATAATAAAATTATCTTAGGAATAAAAGAGTAATACTTCATATAAAACAAACCGAACATTGTTTATTTATCTATTTTATATAATAAATACATAACATTTATACATTCTCCCTGGTAACCATTTTGTTAAATGGTGTCATTATTATGGCCCTGGTATACATTCGACATTTATTACATAGGACTAGTATTACAGTTGATATTTTTTGGTTTTTATTATCGTTTATAACTTTGGTGACTTTTAAAGAAAAAAACCATCTTTGGTATGGTTTAATGCTGAAGCAGTACAACAATTAGCTAAAATTAATAATATTTACAAATAGGAAACTAGGATCACAAATATGAATAAACAAAAATAAACGAGTCTACCGAGAGTTTACAATTAAAATTCTGATTTACGCGCCGAAATTCGAGTTAATGATAAGGTAACTCCCAGTACAATGAACGGAAAGCTGGAGTATTTAGAAAATAGACTAAAAATATATTTTTGTGTATTATATATCACAGTACCGCGGGTTGCAGTTCGTGTACTTATCTTAATATTTCAAATTTTACAAACACATTATACTGATTGCACTGATATACGATTACCATATTGCCAAAAATATCTCTTTTTGGTTCTGACTAGAAAAGATATATGAACAGGACACCTCTATTTCTACTTACAGTCTTCTACGTCCTTCTATAACTACGAGAGATTGGCAAATTAGGTACAATAGTTTATAATTATACACATTTCCTCTATTCTAAACTATTCTTAGGTAATTTTAACAACATTGACTCTCTCGCGCATTATCTCACTCAGTGTTCGTGAAACAATTGGAATGTTGTTCACACAGGCAATCGTTTACTCCAATCCGATCCCGGTGAAACACAAGGAGCAGGTCATGCGTAATGTGGATATGAGCCTAAGGGCGGCGCTCCTAGATGAGGACCTGGATGATGACTGATAGAATGCGTTGTCGCCGCAATATTTGAGTAAAGATTAGCGCTTGGATTACTCCAATAGGAACCAGGTGATGGAAAAATGGAAGCTAAAACAAAAATGTGTTTTAGTCCCTTATTGTTTCGGGAGACAAAGCCGCCTATGATCTACACCCTCTCATCACGGCAGACTGAATTTATGTGGCGCGTTAATGCAATTCATTTGTTCCGTCATCATAGAAAGGCAATTTGGTGTAATTTATGGGGTGTAGCGATGATTTACAAAATATGCATTTAATCTGGAAGATGTTACGTTACAAGAAAAGCATACAAATTAGTTTCACCCCCCATGTTTATTCAAAACTTAAGAAACGCTTTATGTTTACTATTCAAATGTTAGGTAGACTGCCGATGACAAGTGACAAATGCAGCCCCAACTTCTCCTTGTTTACTTTACACTTTCCTTCATCCGAATTAGGTGTATAGCACATTAGATTAAAATTCGCAACGGCACACCTACTTTCGCTCGACTGCGAAATCGCTATTCCGCAATAGCCATTAAAAGTGATTTCTGATGTTCGCGAAATGTAGTAAATGACATTAGGGTAGTTTGTTAACAATATTCTTATTTGGGAGGGGTCGATTAAATGACGAGTAATGCGCTCTTGAGGGGCGAAACAATACACAATCAGAGCATTACGTCATTAAGGGGGGTGCAAGTGTTGCTACGTACGTGTTACGAGAGGCCACGTTTTCCACTTAGACGCGACTTGCATGTTAATTTTTTTTTCGTTTCGGAGCGACCTACCTGTCGAATTCGGAATCCCCGCGTGCGGACTCATGAAACCTCCCAATTTTGCACTGTGATGATAAGAGCTCATAAACAGCTCGCTTTGATATTTATAGCTGCTAGGATCGCTCGTTGCCGGCTGCGTGGCCGCCGCCAAACCTTGGAAGTCGAACTTGTACGCGTACCTCTTGCCGTGCACTTTCGTCATAATGTTCTTGTCGTAGTAGTATCTGGAAAAAAGAAAATTAGAAATTAACGGGGTACGTATGGACCACGTCCGGTGTGGATATTCCGAATTTTCCGGGTCTCGAGGACTCCGGAGACTGTTACATCCTCCGGATTCCGCCGCCGCCGTACTTATTGATTTCGCAATTATATCTGCAGTCCGATCCGGAAATTATATAGTCGTCCTTTACTGGCACCGACTTTCAATTTACCTTTACAGTCACGTACGATTCTTAATATTTTGCGAGGAGCTTCTTTGAGCGATACGGCTTGAATATATTTCACATCGATTAGTTAAAATTTAAGGTATGATCCTAATTGCTTCAGGTTTCTGTTGTATTTTGACGTTGGTTAAATATGTGGTTGCTGTTTCACCTGTCTCGTGGAGGGTGGGCGGACGCCCCCCGTACTTGGATCTGATGTTCAGGTCTCCTGTACTACTCTGCTCTGCTGATTAGCTCAGGTTAAGAGAGAGAAGTACAGTACAGATAAACCCAGATAAACCACATACTTTTATTGATAAAGAAGCACTGAAAATATGATTAGGGGGAATTGGTAAGTTCGAAAACCGTGAATTTTGTGTCTTGAGCCGTCGTTGAGCTCAGTGTCAGTTTCTTGAGAGAACGAAAATTTAGGGAGTAGCTAAGATGGGGACTCTCGTGGAAGCCTTGGTATCAAAAGGGCCAGGGAACCCGTATGGGGAAGTAATGGTTAGCCAGTCAGTAAAGCACAAGAGTAATCTTTCGCCCATCGTTAAATCAATCCAGTTAAACCGTTCGGGTTAGAGTGATAACCCTGGTGACAACCAATTCTTTAAGAACAAGTTGCATTGCAAAAGCGGAAATTGAGTTTGGTCGTATCTAGTCTACTCGACTTATCCTATCGAAAATATAAACGGCTAAACCTTCCAGGTGACTCTGTCTTCTTTTAACATTTGTTCTGTCTTCTTCAGAAGAAAAATCTACACGATATTGGTACAAAGATCAATCGGTTTTTTCAATAACTTAAAGTGAATTGTGCATAAACTGACCGAATTTCCGTAGATGTTCATTCGCCAGTTTATAAATAGGGCTATATGGCAATTGAAAGACGTATCACTGGCAAATTTAAATCAATTTCTACAGAAAAGCAAACTAGCAAAGATAAAGACCTTATAATGTTGATGTACATTATTGAACTATGCAACGGTGTGCATTTAGTAGGAGATTGTAACCAGAGACGACCGCCTTTCGGTGCGAGCCAGGGTTAAGGTTGTTGTATACGTTTAAACCGCCTATGCGAAATAATGTATTCTTTGTTCAATTCTAGAAGAAAAATGAATCATTGAAAGTTCATGAAATTTGGCACACTGGTTAAGGACGATGTATATGAGTGAACTATATGTTTACATAATTTGAAAAAAATAGAAACTTTACTCAAGAAATGACTTTGAAATTTATGAAATCATAAGTAATAAATAGGTGTAAAACAAAAATTGAAAATAGCTATTTTCACACATAATGACAAACATTTGCGTCAGATGTACCATTTTTGCCAATAATTGTCAATACAATTTTGATAAAAAGCTATGTGGGATTGAATCTCATTTAAAATCTTTGCCCCTCATCTAGCCCCGCCCATTGCACTTACTTCGACCAATTAATAGGTACACTTTGGTAGTTTATACACAATAGATCCTACGGATACCTAAAACTTAACGGCATTTATTATGATTATTGAAATAAATAATAAATAGTTAATGGTGTCTCTCTCTAAGGTGGAGTTTATTACCTTTGCTAATAACTGCTACAATATCGCCACCTAGCGGAATACAGTTGTCCCTACTAGGTATAATCTCTTTTTGGTACCATTCCAAGTCCTAAAATAGAGCTGTGTAAAATTGAACTGCTCGCGGGGTGTATTTAGGCACCATATAAATGAAGTAATTTGCATTTTTGTATTTGTATTTGAATAGGGATTGTGCCATTCTAGAAATTTGACGAGTAGAATTTTGAAGTTTGAACATACTACATTTTTACGCTACTAGACGGTTCAACAAACTAGGGTTCTAGAGGAAGATTGCAGTATCGATTTTCACATACAACAATCAAGCCACTGCTTTCTTTGATCGCATAATCCTGTCTGAAATTATCTTAACCAGTTTTGGCATAAATAGCCAGGAGAAGCAGTGTGTGCTATAGAATAGGATTATCCATCCATAATTGTGACTTTTACGTGTTTTTTTTTGTCGACAGTTGCTATTCACATTCAGATGGCAGCACACGGGTATAGGATAACAGCGTTGCCATTGTAAGTTTTGCTAATTTTGTGAAAGTATTACTCTTTTATGAGAGTCGGATCATAACCTACGATTAAAGACTTTGGCAACATATAGAAAGCATTTCGATATCTCTGTAACGCTGCCATCTGAATGTGAATTCTACTATAGGTGACATTTTAAAATATTCCAATAGAATAAACTTTTTTTTCCTATTGGAGGTATCAAAAATCGTAATGGTATTTTTTAAAATATCGTGACAAAATTCAGTCGCCGTCAGGTGCTTGATAAGCTCAAGTTCGTGATAAATAAGTATGGTAGTACAGCAGTCATTGGGTACGCAACGTCGTGAGAGAAAAGGTCTCCTGATCCCGAGCCTGATCCAGGCTTTTTCCAAGGTTGGACGACTCGGAGGTAATTTTAGACGGCGTATCAATAAGGTAATGCGTATTTTTGGATCTATATTCAATACGGACCGTTTCCTTTAAGAAATTTGACGACTGACAGTTTGTGTTCTAAACCGCGCCTGTTTCATTTTCTGTTGTTGTGTGTAAACTGTTTTCCATTTTGAATTCAATATTAAGTGCCGAAAATCTTCTAATATAGATATCAATATAATACAAGGTTTAAGGGGGTTATTTAACACAGTGAAATAGACCGTGACCATGGCCACGTACGATAGTAAATTCTGGAAACTGGATTTTTTGATTTTGTTTTTTACGACCATAGAGGAAGATCGAATTGGTTGATTTCAATTTCAATATACGTCAATATTTTGATTTCAGTAGTTATTTGCCATCAAGGTGTCATTTTTTAATTTTTAGGTAAAGAAACGAATATAAGTCCATTCTACTAATGAACGTAATTTTAGTAAAGTTGAGTTTGCCGTGGATACGTTTTTGTAAAAAAATCTAACATTAACGTAAACAGTCAAATGTTAGAGGGTGCCCCACCCTGAAATGTAACTCGTTATGTGTTGAATTATTAAAATTTTGCAATGTCTCTAATATATGAGGATAGATTAATGCCGGTAAATGTTGCGCTACACCAAAAATATAGGTGTCTCCAAAAAACAAGTGACCCTACACGGGTATTTGGACGGTGAGAGGCATTTTCCATTATTTGCTTTCGGTGGAACTGACAGATTAGTTGTCATTCCAAAAGCCTCGTATTTGACCAACAAAAATTTTGCTACACGTAGTGTCAATGTTTTCTAAAAGTGTGGTTTATTACCATGAAGATAACATAAATCCATTCTAAAAGCTATTCACATGTAATATTTGTCAAGACGTGGACCCTGCCACGGATTTAAAATGTGATCGGTGTGATTTTGTCACCAAGTACAAACCCAATTTTAAAACACATTTGTTAGCGATAACCATATAGGAATCAACTCATGTATAATTCTATAGGATAAATCTAGCTCTCTTCCTGGCGAGGAAGTCCAAAAGTTGTTCACCGTTCAAAGTCTAAAGGTTGCTCGTCGTTCAAAGTCCAAAGGTTGGTCGACATTTCCAAAGTCCAAAATTTGCTCCCTGGGCATAGTCCAAGTGTTGGTTGCCGTTCAAAGTGCAAAGGTCAACCACTCAAGTTTTGTGGTGTGTACCAGAATGGTACAGTGATTACAAATTTATAGCTATTGTAATTTTAATAAATTCCAGAAGCGTGTGGATGCTTTTATTCAATTTAGTCTTTTAGTTCACCAAACGGCGCATACATCTAAGATCCTTTGGGCTCCGATGTCAAGTAACTTTGAGTTACTGTATGTACAAGTACGAGTATGTATCAGTGGCTTATTTTTAAGTTAATTGATAATCTGGATTCAGTTTCGGTTTGTTAAATAAAAGGATTTACGAACTTCTTCATTTTGCACCATCATCCACCCTCGAGTACCAGTGCAACTTTGCGCCCAATGTTTCATTTTCCAGGTGATCACAATTTAATGACCTTATTTCTTCATATTTCATTTTAAAATCAACAAAGGTGAACATCCCCAATTTTTTGTGGTGTCATATTTCATTTTCGAGGTCAATGACTTCTTTTTTTTTGGTCTTATATATACTCCATTTTTCTGAATATACGATGCCAAACTTGAACCAATTCAAGGTCGATGGCGATCTTGCGATGATCTTGAAAATTAGGTCAAGGTGAAGGTCGCATGCCACGTGGCGGTGACCTTAGAAAGTAGGTCAATAAAATGCTCACTGGCACTCACTTTCAAGGTCATCGGAGGTCAAGTGCTTTAAAGACTAATTGTTCACGTGTTTCTTATAGTATTGTTTATTTTACCTGCAATATAATTTAAAAGTTAGGGAAATTAGGTAAAATCATATCGATACATTGAATACATTTCTGATTAAGTGGGTTGCTTATTCGAAATCCCATGATTATCATGGAAATGTTATTTGAAGTTTGTTTGTAAAAATCAGTCTTTAAAAATAAAATGAATTCGGTTCAAAACTCAGTGGTTTGTGGCACAAACAGAAGAAAAGTCGGTACTTACAAAATCCAGTACAGCCTATTACAAAGAATATGAAAAGTTGTTGGCGATTGATGAATCGTCTTAAACGCATCAATAATGCTGGGCACATATGAAGGATATGCATTTACAGAAAGCCACCTAAGAATATCGTTATTTCAGCCCAAGATGATAGTTTCATACGTCATATTTGAAGTAGGTTACTTAGCAACCTTTAAAACACCGTATGGTCAGTACATAAGAGTTTTAGACATTTAATTTATAAACTTGTAACAAATATAGCGCGGTCACTGAAAATTTAATCAGTTCCATGAGTGATGATAAAAATAATACTGAAAACGAATTCGAAACCGTTCGTGACTTATCACAGACGGGCGGACAGAAAGTCCAATCTTAATCTGAATCTTGCTCTGAATCTGAATCAGAGTCTGAATCAGGGTCTGAATCTGAGTGAGTCTGAGCCTGAATCTGAGTCTGAGTTTGAATCTAAATTTCAGTTACAATCTGATTCTGATTTTGAATCTTCATCTGAATCTTAGGCTGAATCTAAATGTGAGTCTGAATTTGAGCCTGAATCAGAGTCTGAACCTGAGTCTGAGTCTGAATCTAAATTTGACTCTGATCTGATTCTGAATCTGAGCCTGAGTCTGAATCAAAGGTCTGTGTCTGCATCGAAAGGTGAGTCTCAATCTGAATCGGAAGGTGAGTCTGAGCCTGAATCTGAGTCTGAACCTGAGCTGAGTCTGAATCTAGTTAGATTCCTGATTCTGAATCTTCGTCTGAATATTAGCCCGAATCTAAATGTGAGTCTGAAGCTGAGTCTGAGTCTGAATCTAAATTTGAGTCTGATCTGATTTTGAATCTGCGTCTGAATCTTAGACTGAATATAAATGTGAGTGAATCTGAGCCTGAGTCTGCATAAAAGGTCTGTGTCTGCACCAGAAGGTGAGTCTATATCTGAATCGAAAGGCGAGTCAGAGTGTGAGACTGAATATGAGTTGCAGTCTGGGCCTGCATCTGACTGATTATAGCACTGTTAATCTCTAAGTCTAAATTATTATTAATTTATTATTGAAGGGCTACTTAAGGGTTGGTTATAGATAATTTATACATAATCTATCAAAGAAATAAAAAGGTTCGTTGTATTTCGAAAGTTACAACCCCCGGAATATAAGAGTGCTGTACATGCTAGTATGAATTACCTGAATCTTAGTCTAAACCTGGGTCTGAACCCGAGTCTGAACCTGAGTCTGAGTGAATCTAAATTTGAGTTAGAATCTGATTCTAATTCTGAATCTGCGTCTGAATCTTAGGCTGAATCTAAATGTGTGTCTGAATCTAAGCCTGAGTCTGAATCAAGGGTCTGTATCTGCACCGGAAAGCGAGTCCGAATCTGAATCGGAAAGTTGAGGAGTCTGAATATGAGTTTCAATCTGAGTATCTGGGATTGAGTCTGAATCGTCTAAATCTAAACCTTAGTTTCAATCTGGCTGTTAATCTACGCCAGAATCTTAAACTCAATCTGAATCTGAGCCTGAATTCAAGTCTAAATCTGAGTCTGAATCTGAGTCTGAATCTGAACCTAAATCAGAGCCCGAATCTGAGTTTGATTATGAGTCCGAATCTGAGTCTGGACCTGAGTCTGAATCTGAGTCTGAATCTGAGTCTGAATCTGAGTCTGAATCTGAGTCTGAATCTGAGTCTGAATCTGAGTCTGAATCTGAGTCTGAATCTGAGTCTGAATCTGAGTCTGAATTTGAGTCTGAATCTGAATCTGAGTCTGAAGCTGAGTCTGAAGCTGAGTCTGAATCTGAGTCTGAAACTGAGTCTGAATCTTAATCTGAGTCTGAATCTGACTCCGAATCTGAATCTGAGTCTGAATCTGAATCTGAGTCTGAATCTGAATCTGAGTCTGAATTTTGAGTCTGAATCTGAGTCACGCGTTAAACCTCTCAAGAGTTTTAGACATTTCATTTATAAACTGGTAAAAAATATAGTGAGGTCACTGAAAATTTAATCAGTTCCTTGGATGATGATAAAAATAATACTGAAAACAGAATTCGAAACCGTTCGTGAGTTATCGCGGACGGACGGACAGAAAGTCCAAAATCATGAACTCGCTTTAGGAGCTCGTGAATCATCCAACTACAAATCTTATATTTATGTATCGGCAGTATCTGATTAGGTCTTTTTACGTTCATATTAGACGGAGAACTTTGAGATTACCTGTCGCCCATCATGATGCGGTTTGACAATGTTTAAAATAGTCTTTCGAATTCATTCAACTTTTACTGAAAATCCTTCATTCGTAAAATATTACTAATCCTAAACCACTCTTTGAGTGTCTGGCTTCAACATTCGTAACCCTAAAAGCATTGTATGGAAACGTAAACATAGTCGGAAATCTTGAGTGGAAAATAATCGTATTTCACTTGTGTCCACCCATCTTCTTGGCGAAGCAATTTAACCCCTAATTAAAAATTATAGCAATTGATCGCGGCGGTAGCGGAAATGGAACGAGACGATAAAATGCGTTTATATGAAATTGTATTTGATCAGTTATACAATCACGTCCTGAAATGGAAAAACTGACGAGCGAACTGCATTAGCCGATATCGGCCACTAATTGCTACAAATGAACACAGCAATGAGATTCGGGCCCCGTCGTTCCCCTATTTCGCGATTCCCCAACACAACGTCGGCTACGACCTTTGACTTGGTTACTGCGAAACCGAACCAGACGAGTACTTGAATCGATCCCGTAGGCGAAACTAGAAAACGCGATCGGCCCACTGTAATATGACAAATGCTATTTGCCCCCGAATTGGACCGAAATAGAAGTTTTTTATTCGGTCAGAGATTGCGTTACCGAACTATTAATCTTTCTGTTGATGATTTTAAAAACGTAAATTGGACGGACCGTGTGTAGGGTGACGTCATTTTGATTGTCGATTTCTATAATGGCATCCAGGTTTGTCGAAAATGTGACGTGGATATGTTGCATTTTGATTCAATGGGAAGTACAGAAATTAGAAATCATTTGGAACAATAAGACTTCAAATTGATTAATAAAGGGCTTGTAACGCACCTTCACCACACTTCACCTAACAATTTATGTTGTCTAAAATTGGAAGCACAAATTATGGAACTCTATGAAAAATTTCAACGTGCATTTCGTTATTTATCACTTTGACATCTATGTTAAGACTAAGACTGAACACAATTCAAATTGGTTACTAGCCAACCTTATCGATAATTTTACTTTATCTTTAATACCCCATCACGACAAAGGAGTTAGTATTTTGGTGTATGTAGAACAAGGAGGAGAATTTTTTAAATTAATATACTCAACCACTTCGTGCTGGACCAGTTGAGTAGTGTTTATTTTTCAAATTTAATTGCAGGAGTCAGTAAGTTGCAAATTGGAAAGTGCGTAGACTAATGTGATTTATTATCGACGTGTAAGTATTCGTCTGCATTCCTCCGTCAGTAACTACTGTAGAATAAGTTCCATTCGAAGAAAAGTACAAACGGAAATTAGGCAACATACAATGCGGTGGTACCCATCGAACGCCAAAAATGGCTATTTCAGATTCTGTTTAATCAAGTTGGGGTCAAGATTTTTTTGCACCTCAAAGATTAAGCTTTTAGATATGTTCAAATTCTAGTTATACTAATGGAACTAACCTTAACGCCCTAGATAGTTTATCGTAGTTCATGTTAGGTTTTGATTTCCTCTCTCCCCATCTTCGCGCAACTTCGTCGGGATCGGTGAGTTTAAATTCTCCATTTGTTCCTTCCCACGTAATGCAGGCCGCGTTCGACGAGTCGCTTAATAATTCTAATAAGAACTGCCAAAGTTGTATCTGGCCCGAACCTGAAACAATCACACTTTGAAATTTATGAATTAAAATTGCAAGCTTACGTGTTAAATAAACAATTAGAAAGGGCCGGGTTAGGGCAATTTCCCCTGTCCATAACTACGAAGATTATCGCGAAATTTCGTGATTTAAAGTTATTAAATGTGGTCATATTTTGAGTGTAATAGCGCAGTATATACCTACACGGATGGAATATATTAATTTGGCGTTCGGTATAATTTAGTAATCATGTTTTTGTCAGTTGCTAAATTACAAATTCAAATGTGATTTAACTTGTAAATGTGGCGGAAGGAAACAAACGCACGGCTCTGTGATTTAACAACATGCACCTGGAAGTCGGAAACTCTAACACATGTTTTGGACACATTTCTTTATAGTTATTAATTCTTATTGTTCGTAACTCGTTCATTAACAGCTTGCGATAAAATGTCATCGCCATACTTGCAAAGGTATAATTTACCGTTTTTGCATTTGCACATAAATTGAAATCTGACAATTACCTCCTCATTAACTGCTCCACTTGATCAGAAATCAATTAAATTAAATTTGCTGCCATTGGGAAATGTTCCTGGTTCAGTTTTTCAAAAATTGGTACAATAGAAATTTAATCTATGTTGTGCAAGTATACCTAATATTAGACAATATACGTATTTCTGCCCTTTAAAAAGTAGAATTGAATACAACAAGACACAAACGTCAATTTGGCATGAACTAAATGGTTCCATAGGGAAAGAGAGCGGAACTAATATGCAATAAAATGGATCACATTCAGATAAGAAACGAGTGAACAAGTAGATAAGAGTCGAAACGTCACGTTGTAGTCGTACGTGATATTGTTTTGGTACATTATGGGATTATTGTGCTCGCGTTTAAATAAATGATTACCACGAAAGAGTTGGGGTCAAAGGTGCAAAAAATTTCGTTACGTTATATTTGGAATGGAAAGTTACGTTAAGAAAACACTTTATTAATCAAAGTTGTGCATCTAATTTGTTTATACGAGGTGCTAATAACATTATGAATAAAACGGCTACCGGTAAAAGTTTGAGACAATGCTTTTGTTGGGTGTCAAAGCGCTAAGTTATAAGGGTATTTTTGGACATTTCTATATTGCGGAACATCTGTTAATACACAAGACATATAAAGATTTAAAATGTGGTCAGTGTGACTACTCAAACAATTTTAAATATAGTTTAAAGAAACATCAGTTAACACACAAAATTTCTAAAGATGGTAACTATTCCAGTAAATAAACTAAATTGGTGGAACTAATAAACTGCGCATCCTGACCACGAACGGCATGGAAGATTTCGTAAGTTTTCTAAATATTGAATGACGAGTTTCTTCATTTTTTTGTATATCAACCATATGCATATTGTATGTTGTCATACAGTAAATAGATAGGTCTTAAAAAGACAGGCATATTGCATTTGAAAAACAAAAGTTGGATCTATTTTCGGAATAACCAGTGTGTTTGACCATTTTTTCGAATCTCCCCAAATAAATGAGATATTGAGGTGACCCTATTCTGTCGAACACACTATATTACACCGCGAAATTGAAGATACAAACATAAAATACCACATTCTCGGCGGTATTTGTACGGAAAACCCCACTGTATCGGAGTCTTAAAAAGTGGAGTTTTAATAACCTATAAGACAAGACTGACTCAAAAAGAGCTCATCGAGATATAGGTCCTTTAAGCCAAATCACATTTTTTTTTCGCTTTTTTCGCCTATTTAACAACAATCAACCAAAATTAAAAACGGCAATTGGAACGAAAACATCGGTGACAGGGTCGCTATACCCTATCCACCTACTTGCAATATTATAATAAAATTAAGTGAAATACTGCAATCCAACAGAAGAACAGTGTTAGGTTCTGCAGAATAGTTTTCTAAATATCTTGTATATTTTTAAATTTTTTAATTGTGCAGATTTTACTAATCTAATCTATACAGGAAAGTTATCTCCGGTCGTTTGCGATAAGAGTCCTTATTGCTGCGTAAGTTAATTCGTTTCAAGATAAGCGCGTATTATCGCTGAAGTAAGCGGATGTTATTATGTATTTCGGAGGCGCAACATTTTGCTAAAGAAGGAGGAACGGAAGTGAGAAAGAGAAAATGCTTTAAATAAAGGAGACGGACGTTACTAGTTGCTTTTTTGCGGGTGGACGTTGAAAGGTAGCCGTTTGTTTTGGTATTTGACCTACTGCCGCTTTTGAGCGTATTTGAAAAGACAATCTGTCTTGTTTAATCGTAAAATTGTGTAGGAGAAAGCTAGAGCATTTTGCTTCCGTCGTGATGAAAGTGAACGTTAAGTAAAGTGTGTTTTCCCACTTACTAAGAAGTTTAGCCAGAGCGCTGTGGGTATCGAGAGTTTGTCCCTGAAGAGGAACCTTTCTTTAAGGTCTTACCAGTTAAAGGGAGTTTTTCACCATCAAGGGGCCTATACTATAATTGTAATTACAACGAAGTCAGCGTCGTCCAGTTTTAAGCGAGGTCAAAGAAGTGAAGTTCTGTAGCATCATCAGCGTTTCTGTGTTACGTGTTAGTGGGTCTGTTTCTTGAAAAGGTAATTAAAACTTTATTAAAATTTAATTTGTTAAATCGATCGCTTGTTACGCGGTGTGTTATCTGGCCCTGAGTGCCATTCATTTTTTCAGTTATTTGATTTATTGACGTTGAATAAATTTGTTTCATGTGTAAGTGGTTAGTTTTGTCTTTAATCGAGTCCAAATTACGACCTAGATAAAGTGTTAAATTTTGTCTATTTCGTACCCAGTTTTCCATAAGGTACTAATTACTTACAAATTATTGTTAATTAATTCTTTCCACTTTTGGAGGCGGTTAGGGGTGCTGAATTTCTCCAAATCACTTCCCTCGAGGTGTTATATCTACACCTTTTGAATCACGGAGAACTTTTTCATTGTTCAGAACCTTTGTCTGATAGGTATTCTCGAACGATTAGTCGTTGTGCGCGGTGGCACCATGCTGTTGAAACCAACAGTTTCCAACTTTAGTTTCTTCTGTGTATGACGTATATCGTTGGGTTAGTAATAACAAATGCTACTCAATAAAGTATGTACTTTTTTTAGCGCATTTTTTTAAGAATTTTTTTTTAAGAATTAAAAAAAATGTGGTATTGTTTGCGTTTTGTCCGTCCGTCCGTCCGTCCGGACCCACTTCTGCCGTTTCGAACTACTTCTAGGGGAATGGTCCTAGAGTTCTGGAATATTTTGCAGTAGGTAGCCTATACCTTGAAGGTGTGCCAGACGGCCACCAAATTTCGCTGCCTAAAAAGCCCCCCCCCCCCTACGAATTATCTCCTGAGATGCTGTTTTTGAAAGTAAAACGTGCATAACTTTTACATACGACAACCAATTGGTCTCAGATTTTGCATACGCATGCCTTTAATGGTGCCAAGTTAAACTTTAGAAAATGGCGGAGGGGAGGGGGTAAACACATGTTCTACCCTTCATGGTATTCTAATGAAAGGTCTTAACTTAATAAATTGGTTTGTACAAACTATAACTTTCCCGTGCGACTCTTATTCAGGATCAGTGAGCGACGGGGCCTGAAGGGGGGGGGGGGGTTAAAATTTAATTTTATCTCTCATTGTATTAAAGGTCTCAACGAAAGGAATCTTTTTTACCAACTACTGCCCTTCTTTCTGTCCTCTTATCAAAGTACGGGAGGAGGGGTAGGGGGGGAGTGGAACTAGTTTTATCCTTCATGGTACTCTAATGAAAGGTCTCAACGAAAGGAACCGTTTTCTACCAACTACTGCCCTTCTTCCTGTCCTCGTATCAAAGTACGGGCTAGAGGGGGGAGGGAGTGCAACTAGTTTTATCCTTCATGGTACTCTAATGAAACGTCTCAACGAAAGGAATTAATTTCTACCAACCATAGCTCTCCTCCTCGACCTCTTATCGTGATCGGATATATTCCCGTATACCTCAAGAATCGATTGTCGGAAGAGGGTACTCACAAAGGGCGATTGGGACGTCTGCAAGAAATATATCCATTGGTGGTGTCAAAACAAAAGCTATTTCGTTAAAAAAAATGCGCGTTATCTGCACAAGAGCGCACAATTTATACTTTACTTTTAGTTTTAACTTCATTGGCCATTCGCTTGTACTATCCGTAACGTCAGTTGTGGTAGGTTAAATAAACTTGCGGATTTCACGTTAATTGTGTTGCATTGATTTCTTGAATTTATGCTTAGATCAGTCGACCTGACGCAAATACAATTGTCGTCGTCCTCCGTTGTTACTGAGGGACTCAACTGGCTCCCTAATACGATGTACCCTTTTAAGGGTGTATGCCAGGTTAACCTAGCCGGTCTTATTTGATCACAGGATAGCAGAACATTTCTTTTCAAGAACCCCCCCCCCCCACTGCGGCGAGTTACCTAAAATAAGATACCGTGAAAGCGTCCTTGTATACTCCCAGCCTTCCAGAGCGTACCTATTCACCGTCATCGCTTAATTACAGCCAATTAGTCGATACGAGGCCCAGATCTAGGACCTAAAGTCAACACCAAACACAAGTGTAAAAAAGATGTGGATCGTTTATTTTATTTGCCAGCACAACATCTGGTATTTGACCGGTGCAACACGACGGTGTCTCCGCAACCGGCTTTTCTGATCCTGAACGGCGAATGTAACTAAGGTTGCCTATACATTATATTATAGTACAGAATTTTTTATAACTTTGGACCAATGTCAATTGCTTAGAACCCATACAGCTCTATACATTTGTGTGAATGTGTTACAATAGACTTTCACTATTATTTCCAGATTCTCCTAAAGTAATTTATTATTTTGCATTTACTTTTCAAGTGTTTCTGTTATAGAATTTGTTGCCTATATCTTTTTCGTTCATAAACTTTTTGAGTGATAAAATCTCACACTGTTATGGGTAATATTTGCTCCAAACCTCATATCTGCACATATTTAAAACAAAACTGCGTAAAAGCGTAAGAACAAAGAGAAAATCTGTGCCCGCACATTATCAAATCGAGTATTGTGCCGCGTTGTTCCCGGATAAATTTATCTTTTTCCCACTTTACCATAATATTTTATTTGTTATCCGATTCATCTAAATTTGGTCGTACATAAGTCTCGCCCGTGCACGCATTATTTGACACGCATTACCTTTGTGTTTCCCTTTATTTGCTACGAGTAGCGCGGAGGGCCGAAGTGAAATTAGTTTTATTTAAATTTAAGACATCTCCGACGGTGATTTTGCGTTTAGATAGACGTTAAATAATTACGGTCGCGACTGTACGGCGATAATTAGCCTCGCAATTTTCGTTCGTTCGAAAAAAAAATCGTTAACAAAATTACTTCCGTCAAAAGAAACATTAGTCAAATGAGCAATTACTGGGGGGTCAATAAGGGTGTGTACGCCAGATTTACGGTTCAAATAAAGTGAAAAAACTGCGCTAAATGTCATTAAATCATTATATTACTACCTAATGCTTATATAATGATAGCTTTCTGAACTCATTTAACTTTTGTTTCACATGGGGGGCGACCGCTGCTACCCTTAGACAAACTTACTCTAAACACAAACTCATTGGCACGTGACCACACACGTCACCGGTGTATAATTAGCGTAGTTTATTTTTGATTTGAATTTGTTCGAACATGCGATCTTTCATTTTGTATTTAGAGAATTGCGTTATTATTTTTGATTTAAAATGCCAAACGTAATAAGTTTTTAGATTAGCGTGTCCGCGGATTTCCTAATTTCGGGATAGCGTTTCTTTTTCTATGATGAAACGATTTTCCCTTTTCTGTAGGTAATATACGTACAAAGGAAACTTATTAGTTACAGTTGCATGATAATGCTACTATAATTTCTTACCTGAACTTGCCAGTCGACTGCTCGTTGGTCCAAACATTTGATAAGGATCTGTAAGAAAGAGAGGAATTAGTACTAAAAACGATCGATAGGGCAACGAAATTAAAGCAAAGCGTCGTCTCTTTTAATAAAGTCTGAGTTCGTCAGTTCTAGTGTGTGGTAAACATCAGTAGTAAATAATTGGGTAGCAAAAGCGCCTCTTTAGGTCAATCAAAGGGTCCTTTTACTGCATTTGTGAAGGGTTTTTCAACTTGCAACCCTCGTGTTCCAATTTTCGCTCTTAAAGAAAAGTAGTCTTTGTTACTGTACTCATTATATGCGGTAGATAACTTATTTCCAATACGTGTGCGTGTCCTAATGTTCACATTCTGTTTCGATTGTTACGTTTTTTAATATGTGGGAAAATGACAATGGGCATTAAAGCACTTGAAAATAATTAAGCGTGTTACTTATTGGTGAATTGATGTTGCGACATGCACTTTTATTTCATTACCTATAGGTACACGTGTAGGTAAATATATTTTAAGGTAGACATTCGTATATCTTAGCAAGAGTAGTGTCTCAAAGTATCATTGTTAAGATTTGGTTTAAATTGTAAGAAATTTGTATATGTGTTCTTTTGTTAAATTTTATTATATGCTTACGTTAATATAAGTATTTATGCTCGGGAATGTGCGCGTTTTACGAAATATGGAAATGGGGACGCGATAAAAGATGGATTCAAGAATAAAGGAGGTGCTTTGATCATGTAAAACGTGTAGCGACCTGTGTGTACCATCTGTTTCAATTCTGCCGCCAGCAAATACCGGCGAATAGACGACAATTCAACCACCAGTTATTAAATTAAATCGTAAGTAATGTAGCGAATATTCTAGAATTTTCGACAGACATCGAGGAGTCATGAAAGGTTTGCCATCGGCGATAAAGAACGAAGGTGGATGTGACGTAATCTTTCCGAGAAATATGACGTGTTTGTTCGAGAATATTCTGAAGCGTCCTTGAACACTCGAGAAAGAATATTGTTTGCTGTCGACGTTTGAAAAGCACCTCCAGAATCTTGAAGAAGTGTTTATGAGGTTGCGTGGTGCAACCTTTTCCAAAAAGAAGCAAAATCGAGAGTAAAATACTTTGGTCATCTGGTTTCAAAGAATGGAGTGACAGTGGACCCCAACAGAATCAGTGCAGTACAAGACCAGCCAAATGATAAACACGAAATACAGAATATTTCATACTTCATTTCAGTGTTCTCTAAACCAGAAAACAACTATACTGTGTCACCTGAAAGGAATTGCTGGCCGTCATCAAGTCAATCGAATATTTTCGTAAGTATTTGAATGGCCAGAAGTTTCTCGTAAGGACTGACCAATGACCATGCCGCATGGCGATGGCTATTGCCATTGATAAACTGGAAAATGGAAGAGAAAAGGCATACCTGGGAAGAGGTATCTCGGTATTGTCATTGAATAAGTCTGTGATTACTTATTGGTATGGTCCAGTTTTAAAGGCGTATTGGGCTCAGTGGGACTCGTTACGGTTAAAAGACTTCTTTAGAGAGTTGTAGAAAATGATGATGGTACGACCACAAATGTATAGGGTGGCCAACCAAGAATGCGAGGTACTGTATCTGAGAACCTATCCATCGTAGAGACTTGCGGTAAAAAAAGTTATTACTAAAACGGCCACGAGAAAAACCTGGAAAATATTTTTAAGTTTCTGAAATGGCCGCTAGGGGGCGTAACTGCAATCTGGAATCCAAAAAAGTGATTTTTCTGTGTATTCCGCTATATTAACCTAACAATTTATTATTAGTCTTTGAAGTCGACGATAATCTGAACCTTTTTTGTTTGACAATTTTTGCTGTATCTCTAAAAATGAAGTGGGGGTATTCAAATATTCCGTAAAGAAGACCCTGTATCTTCGAAACGGCTGAGTCAATTTGAACAAACTCGGGTTAATTGACAAGAGTTATTCTTCGGCTACAAATATTATAATATTTGAAGTTTTGTTAGTTTCACATGCTTGAGGGCTTTTTTCGACATTCCGACAGAAATGGTTAATTTTCTCAAAAATATTAAATGCATTGGTTCGATTTCTTTTTCATGAAAAAGTAGCTAAATGATGCCTAAACAAGCTCGCGAAAACCGCAGTTTGCGCTATAGAACAAGAGTTGTCTGCGACTGTACCTCCGTTACAACCGTGGTCCTTGTTTTAAGAGTTTTAAGAGGGGGCAGTGCGGCGAACGTTCCAGTAGTTTCTATAGACAGCGAGGCTCCATAAAAGATGAGTCATGTGACGTAATTCTTCCTAGAAATATTACGTGCTTGTGCGAGAAAATTCGGAAACGCAATAGCTAGCGACATTTATGTTTTACATTCATAACGAAATCAATTTATACCATTAAAGCGATTTGTTTCCATATTTCTAAAAGGCGCAGCATTTTCCAAGGAGCGATCAATATGTAACTTGAAAGGAATCTCATTCACATCGATTACTTTCAAGTTATTTTAGTTTTTTTGATTTGTATAAAGTGGTGGTCGGTTATTTTTAGGAACTTGCATACGTAATTTTGTTTGATGTTATTGTAATATTTCTATAGGAATCGACCTATGAGAACCAATTGCGTCAACAGATTTTAATTGTATTTATTGATAAGAATCAAATCCAAACAAAAGATTTTAGTTATTTTGCTTCGTTGATTGGAAAAATTGCATTTAATTACAGTGATACCTGTAACGATTTATTTTACGTAGCTTTATCATTGTGCACGGTTTCATTACTTATCGGCGAACCCCTTAACATCTAAGTTCTAGGCTTGTCCGTAAAATAAGGAACTGCAGTGGTGAGGTCACGCTGTAACGTGAGATTCGGCAACACTGGCATGCGCTTGTCCATGCAATAAGGAGCAGCCTCAGTTTCGTTCAATCAGTGAAATAACGACCATCTTGTAGCCATTCTCGATTTCACCTGCCAAATGGACACTTGGGGAACTACATCAGGAGTAGAACCACAAGATCTAACAGAGACAGTTAATCAGATGCCTTCCTTTTCTTTTGCTTTGTTAAGCGTATCGTTAGCTACCTCTTAAAAGGATCGATACTTGAATCGTAATTGTAACTGTTTGTTTGCATTCCGTAGAATTACCCGATTGATGAATCATCGATATGTAATCGCGTTCACAAGAGTTGGGGTACATTACCTTCCTTCTGAACTATAGTGTACTGGCTGTCGCATTCGATATTGAATCGTATGAATACAAGTCGAGATCATAGTTGGCAACTCAGGCTGTCAACTTTTAATCAACGAGACACTTTTCGGTGATAGTGGCGATGTAGAGAGCTCTCTTCGGCTGCACATTCACTCACAGGCAAGACTTTTTTCTTTTTCTTATGATTGACCTTGTGTTTTCTCTATCGAAACAGATATTGAGCGTTGTCACACGGTTTTGGGAGACTTTTGTCTATTCCCGCCTGTAAGTTTTATGCGATCATTATTGAATAGGAGGAATTTTAATAGGACGTTTAATCTGCTAGAGATTATATACCCGTCCTTTGGTTGGATTAAAATTTTCATACAAATCTCGAAGCAGTATTATACCTATTTTAACAAGATAACAAGTTCTTAAATTCTAAAATCGCCCTAGGCAACTATTAATTAGTATAGTGACAGTACAACATTTTACAATCAAAATATTGATTGCTGTTCTTAAATGCGGCTACCTGCAATAGTTGCCGTTACTGTTTTTATACTAAAAGAGAAATTGGTATTATACAGGGTGTAAACGGAACAAGGAAACGCGACTTTTCTCCGAAGTTATTAGAGATGCAAAACAACCTTTCAAATAAAATTTTTAGTGTTTCTAGTAAGTTACATAAATTAAAGTAAATCAGAAAAAAAATATTTTAATTTTCGGGTATATACCTATTTTTGACTTTTTACGCCCTGTATATTTTTATAGTATTTGGTAGGAAATAATTTTTTATTTTAAAAAGTTTCATAAGTTTCTAAACTTAATAGAATTCGAGATATTAAGGAAAATATTGAAGTAGCTTTTCTCAAAATTAAAGGTGGATATGAAAACAGAATTATTGAGTTACGAAACATTTTAATTTACAAATGTAACTGGTAACACTATATTATATGCAGGGTGGCAATTTGAAAACTTACCACCCCCCATGTCTTAGTAAATAAACGAGATATTTACAAAAATCAAGATCCGTTTCGGTAATTTGGGGTAATCACAATGACATAGTTGGCGACGCACCCTCTCCGACCCCCTGCGCCCCAGTCACCCAAACTTTTAAATCTTAAATAGTGACCCCCCCCCCATGTGTGATACGTCGTTGGAAAGCTCTGAAAAAATGCTTTCCAACCATACCAAATAGCATTACATTTCGGTTAGTAATTATCGTGCAAATCAAAAAAATAAACTTAAAATTAAGACCTTCTGCAGGGGCACCTCTAAAAAGCATTAAGCTTTGGGCGTAAACCTGTTGAAGGCCCAGAACAAGAGAGGGATAATAAATAAATAATAAATAAACAATTTTTAAAAATTTTCACCATATAAAAAATTGATAGTTTTTAACAAATGTTGATTTACAATATTATCAACTTTTATTTTTTAACTCGTTCACAGCTTGTCTTATTCAATGTTTTTAATTCTTCAAGTGTAGTAATATGCGTAATATAAACTTTGTTTTGGATGGCACCCCACAGAAAGCAATCTAAGGACGATAGCGCGGGAGACCTTGCAGGCCACATTATAGGTCCCCTTGTTCCAATCCAGGCATTTTAACTTGTTACATCTATTGAATTGTGAGCAAGTGCACCATCTTGGTGAAATATCATTCCTAGCCCATCTGCGAATGGTAGGTATATCATAAAAAATTCCTTAGTTCATTTTATAAAGAATCTTTCAGTTAAGGGCGTTGAGAAGTTGGGGAGGTTGAGTATTCTTGCATTTTTACAACAAATAATAATCTATGTTATCAATTCAACTTTTTCATAAAGTTATAACAATAAACTATACAAATGTCAAATTTTGTTTCCAT